TCTTGTGCAGCTCCTCCCTTGCCGGCGCCTGATTGTCGGGGAGAGATTGAAGGTCGAGGAGCAGCCCGTACAACGCGCGGTGAGCGCCCGTGACGGCGTACTCGAACTGCAGACTCTGCGAGACGAGGAACTCGAGATCGAGCACGGTGCGTCTGTTCTCTTCGATGACGGCACGGTCGTTCGACTTGCCCGCGAGCTTGCGGGCAAACTCGCCCAGATTCAGCGCATAGTTCTCCGCCTTGGACGCAAGGAAGATGCATGTGATGACGATGTTCTTCGGGTGGAAGTCCATGCATGTATTGCGCAGGTAGAAGCGCTTGACGAACGTGGTGGCTGTGGCTTCCACGAGCTCGGGTAGGCCGAAGGCCCGCACGATCTGACCCACCTTGACGAGGTAGTAGGTGATGAGTGCAAGCTCGTCGTCGACCGAGAGGAAGGGAATGCTGGGCGCAGAGCTGGATGAGGACGCCGCGTGTTCTTCGGACCAGATGGCTTCGAGACGCCGACGCGCGGCGAGGTTGGCTTCGCTTCGGATGCGAGCGAGTGCCGAGGTGCTGAAGCGCCAGTTGCGTGCCTGCGAGGTCTGGGCATAGGATAGCGAGGGGCCAAAGGGGAGTGGCAGCGAAGGTGTCGATGGAAGCTCGACGGGGCGCATGGAGGCCGAGGCGTAGGCGGGCACGGGCACCGCCTCGCTACCGGCGGTATCGTTGGCTGCCATCGCAGTGGGGCCTGTGCTGGAAGATGGCGGTGGGAAGGTTGAAGGTATTCCACGACTCGGCCGGTCGGATCATGCAGCTCGAGCCGATGCGAGGATGTGGAGAGCGAGCACAGTGTAGAAGGTCTGCATCGCCGATTGCGAGCCCGATTATTCGGCTTAAAGCGCGATCCAGCGACTCTTCCTTTTTTCTGCTCCACCTTTTTCCAGCGCCTTTTCAGCGGTTCTTTCTTTTGGGTCCTCTAAAACTGTGCAAGCAAGAGTCGCCTGATCCTCGCGACACTGGTGCTGTTCGCTCTCTGCGCAACATCGACAAGGTCTGTCGCCAGATCGCCACGAGACAGGGCATACTTGCACACGATGCGCCGAGATTACGGCCAGCGACCCACTCTGGCGGCTTCTTCGACGGACCGATCGGGAGACGATCGGCGATGTACTCTGGGTCGGCAGTGGAAAGCAAAAGTGCCGGCAAGGCCGGCATGCTTTACTTTGCTGAGCATGTACAAAAGTCATATGAACACCGAGACACACGCAGGCCGGGCATCTGGCCGGGCAGCGAGGCCGGGGAACGAGCTTGGCTCGGTGCGGAGATGGTCGCGCGCGCGCGGGTGTTGTGAAGTGCCAGAAAAACACCCGGCGGACCCTGGATGATCGACAGTGCAGGGCGTGCCAAGCCAGGCCGGGATTGAAATTTCGAGGGTTGGTCTTCATCACTCTGGCCGGGGCTGTGACTGTACACCGAGGCAGGCGCAGGGACGGGCAAGGCAAGGCAAGATCGACGTCTAGGTTTGCGATGTGCACCTGTAAAATTAGAGAAGAAGGAAGGTTTCGCCAGAACGCCGGGTGCGAGGCTTGGCACGCGCATGCAGGTTGGCCAACGCTCGACAGCAGTGTCGATCCGCAGGGCCGAAAGAGGCAGCAACGGAGCATGCAGAGCGTCATCAGCCCAAAATGGCTCGGCTGGGTCTGCATGCGCATCAGACAGCGACGATCATGGCGTCGGACGGGAGCTGAACCTACGGAAAGCAAAGGCTTGGCACGAGGCATGATGCAAACTCTATCCGCCTCGAGACAAGCGCCGAGGAGCCAAACAGCCAGACGGAATGCTGACACTGACAATCTGGGATGGCATCAAGAGAGACAAGAGCAAATGCAATGGAAACGTAGCAAGTACTCAGCGACACAGTCAAGTTGAAAGCCGGGACGGAGATGCTGCAGTCCGATGTCGCTCGGGACGGAAGAGAGGCGATGTTCAGGGGTGGACGTGGGCGTAACAATGAGTCGCATGGTGAGACGGTTGCCACAAATGTCGGCTGGGAGCGCTTTACCTTCTTCTGCTAGTGGATGGTGACCTTCTGGTGAAGAGAGGAGCAGACTGAGACCGAGGCGCGTGAGAGCATGGAAAAAGGCCGAAGCTAAGGCAGGATTAGCTTTGTTGGTGGATTGGATGCCGTAGGGCGGCAGTGCCGACGCATGCCATCCGTGCATGCTGGGATTGCCTGGCATGAGCTCTGTCTCTGTCTCGCGTGAAGATGCGATGCCAGCTCAGCAATTCAAAGAAAGGGGCTCGGCTTCCCAGAGGAGGGGATTTTTTGGGGGGGTTGGGTTTGTTTTTGGCGCGAGGAATTTGGACTGCACCTGCGCTCGGCATGTACTCGGGCGGGATGGAGCTCGAGCCGACGCACGCCCGCATCAGGGCTCGGGCTGGCACACAATGGCCCCTTGACACGTTGGCAGCTGATCGTCGACGCACATCGGAGCTGGCTCGAGCAGCATTGGCATCACCAGACCAAGACGAGTTGCTGCTGCAGTCCAGCGAACCATCGGAGCCATGCCGAACCGAGTGTGGATTCGTCGGCGGAGCATGCGTGTCAAACTGGATCCGCTGGCTGAAACCAACACGAACCGTACGCGTGCGTTCGGTAGCAAAATGAGCAACGAGCGGGGGGCCCTGCTGCAGTGCCTCTGGGGGCGCCCACCGCTCACGCGTCGAGCCCCTCTCTCAGTCCACGCTGTGGCTCGGCAAAAAGTGATTTGGCGATGGCGAACGTCGTCGCTTCCCACCGCACATGAGCCCGACCACGCGGTGCGGCCGTCTGCCCGAGCGGCTCTGTATGCTGGTCCGCAGGGGGCCGGCGCCTCCAAGCGGCGGTGCGGCCGACGCTCCTCATGGTCCCCTCCTCATTCAAAGCAACGAGCGACGAGAGCCGCGTCAAAGTGCCTTGCTTCCGTTCCGTGCACGCGGTCGCTCTCTCATCTCTGGCTCAAAGAGGCGCGTGCTGGAAATTCCCTCGAGAAATTGCGGTTTGCTCTTGTTTACTGCCCTGCGCTGCCCTGCTTTGACCTGCCCTTGCTTTGGCTTTCCGTCGAGGCACGGCACCGCACGGCACGGCGAGTAGGCTCGCGGTGACAGGCAAGGAGAGCGGCACACTTGCAGTCGAGTCGGACTGAACCCCTCTGCACTCCCTTTCACTTTGGCCCAGCTTCTGTTGTCGAGCTGCCGCCGCCCTGTCAACGCCGAGTCGAGTTGTTGCTCTGCACAGCATTGCGCACTCTGGCTACAGTGCAGCTCTCGTGCAGCCACCAGCGCGGCATCTCGCCGATCCCTCGTCCTTGCGTCGACGCTCTTTTTCGCCCGCGTCGTGACCGTCCTCACATTATCGCCGTTGCCATAGGATTCACTTCGCTTGCTTCCGCTTGCTTTCGCTTGCTCCGTCAGCTGCTCCTGTCTGCGTCGGCGTCGGCGTCGTTGCACCTCTCGCCTTCCACCATCTGCTCCTGCATCCTCTTGCCGGCTGCTCTCTCTCTCTCTCCCTTTCGATCGCCTTTGCCTCGTCTCGCCTTGCACCACGCCGCATCGCCTCGCACCGCATTGCACCGCACAACCTCGCTTGACCGCTATCGCCGCTGCTGCCGACGCCCACGCCGCTGCTCGAACCGCAGCACCTTTGCATTCGCCTTCCACCACCACACCGACTCGCTCTGGCAAGCGCTTCGCCAATCGTTTCCTCGCTCGACATCCACCACGCGGCGTCGCTTCACCTGCTCGTTCCCGTTTCATGCCCGTCTCGCCATCGACTCGGCCTAGTCCACGTTGCAACCTAATCCTTGCTTGCCTGCCTCGTCTTGCATCCGACTCGCGCAGCCGCTTCCGTTCTCACATCCAAGCTTTCCTTGAATCGGCGCCGTCGGCTGGACCCGACCAAATCGCATCGTGGCCGTCATCCACCACCTCGTTCCCGCCATCGCAAAGCAGCCTAAGGTCGTCGCGTATGACTGCCAAGTAGTCCCTTGGCCTTCTGCATCTTTTCCAGCCACGCACGGGCACACCGACTCAATCAGCACGCCTATCATCCGCCGGCACCCTCCGCTCATCTCACCACCGCGGCCCACGTCCCTCTGCCCACAATGGACGCACACACACTCAATGCATGGACCCGCTTCGCCCTCCAGAAGGGCGGCATCGGCTCATGCACAGCCCTCATCGACAATCCTGCCACAGAGCCAGAGGATCTCATGTTCATGTCCGGCGAAAAGATCATCGTCCTCCGCAGACTAGACGACGACGCTTCCGACGCCAACGGTCGTCCCATCAGCAGCGCAAGCTCTTCCAACCCAAAAAGACGCAGCGACGTCCTCCCCGACTCCGAAGCATGGTTCCTTGGTTACTGCGAAGGCGTCGTAGGCCGCTTCAAGGGAACACACGTCCAGTTCCACGCACGTCTCAAGAAGCCCGTTCTCATGCGCCGCAGCGCCGCAGGAAGCATCCGCGATTCCAGCATGCGTCCCATGTCCAAGAGCGAAGCCGCAAAGATGCATCTCTCCCAAGTGCCTGCAGGCATCCCCTTTGCAGCCGTCAACTCGGACGACGAGGAAGACGCCGCCCTCGCATCGCCGGTCGACCGCCGAGGTGCCCAGCAGCCGCCTTCCTTTGCCGCTTCGGCGGCAAGCCATGCAGCTTCATCAACCCACGCACCCACCTCGGCGGCTGTCGCCCGCCCCTCTGCATCCGCCGTGCCCCCACTCAAGCAAGGCCGCTTCGGCCTCACCACTCCGCCACTCTCGGACGAGGGCCACCTTCGCAAGCAGTCTGCACGTCGCAGACCTGTCCACGGCAACAATGACGACGATTCGGACGATTCCACATCGCTCCTCCCTTGGGCCAGGCACAGCCGCGAAAGTAGCGCCGCTTCCCTCTCCAGCCCCGCCGCCGCCGGACGATCTGCAGCGCTGCCTCCCACCCGCAACGGCTCGCTCGCAGGCCCTGGCCCACGCGCACCGGCACGCACTTCATCTGCTTTCGCCCACGACTATGACCACGCCCATCCCAACGGCCACGGCCTGCCCACCATCCACCACCTCCCGCCCTCGCCCATCTCGTCCAGCGAGTCGCCCGTGCACGCCCAAGCCAACTCCACCCTTCCTTCCATCACCACCACCGCCACCTCCTCCTCCTCCCGGTCCGACTCGCTCTCTGGCAACACCACCGCCACCACGATTGCCGCCACAAATCCCACCGCCACGGCCAGCTCGGCAGCCGACCTGGCCTCGCGCACCTCATGCACCTCCTCCAACTCCACCACCTCCACCAACGACGACTCGGACGACGATAACGCCGTCGACAACCGCCGCAGGGACTACACCTTTTCCATCTACGACGTCTACGGCCGCGACTCGGTCGCCTTCCCCAACTTTGACTTCCGTCAGTACGGCAGCAAGTCGTCGCTCGCCAAGCTCGCCGCTTCCAAGTCCACCGAGTCGCTCAACGTGCCCAGCCAGCGCTCCTCGAGCGCGACCGACTCGCCTCAGCAGAAGCCCCACCCGCTTTCGTCCGCGCAACACCCAGGGTCCATGCACCACCCTGCCGCCACGCCCCAAGCCACCGCCGGTCCTCGCCGTCCAGCACAGCTAGTCGTGCCACCCGGCGTAGATGCTTCCATCCCCTTGGCGTTGCGCTCGCCATCCGGTCGTCGTCCAAGTGCGGCTCCCGATCCGAGATCCGCCGGTGTGGACGGTGGACGTGCTCCGCTCGACATGGCTTCCAGCCTGCGTCGACAGGTAGAGACCCCGCCAGTGTCCAGCGCATACTCTTCCTCACCGCTCGACGCCGCGGGCTCCAGTATAGACTCGACAGTCTCATCAGGCATGCGAGGGCCGGGCGCATTCGATCCGCGCCGACGTCCTTCATTGGCGCACACTGCTGGAGTGCCTGGTGCGCCTGCGCGCATGCACCCGAGCACGCTTCCGCCCATCCACACGGGCGCCTCCAATGCTTCCACAACGCGATCAGGCTCGGGCTCGTCTCCACCCGTCTCGGCCGGCACAGCGACGACCAACAGCCAAGACCCTGGCTTCTCGCACCGTCCCGGTTTCGCCGAGGCGCGAGAGCGTCGTCGATCCGCGTCGGTGGGGACGCTCAACAAGGTTGAAAGCCTTGCGCTTACCGACGCAGGCGCAGCCGATGCGCATCCGCCCATCCCTACGCCTCCGCACCTCACCGGACTCGCCTCGGCGGGTGCGACGCGACCCAGCTTCCGCACCTCGGCCAGCTCTGCGCGCTCGCGCAACGGCCAGTCCACTTCGCCCGGGCTCGGCCCCGTGCGCGCTTCGTCGGATCGTCTGTCGGAGCGCGAGCGTGCGCATTCGGGACACGGATCGGGCCTGCTGCGCAAGAATCCGTCCAATCCCACTCCCGGCCTCCATGGTGGCAGCGGTCTCCACGCACTCTCTCCCATGGCCAGGAGCACCAGTCCCATGAGCCAGCTCAGCGCACCTTCACCTACGAACGACATGGCTCGACGTGGAAGCGCCGCTAGTACCGGTGCGCATTCGTTGGGCGCACACTCAATGGGTCCGCGCAGCCCGGCGCCGCGAAGTCCGCTCGGCATGCCCATGCCTCCCTTCTCGGCCTCGGCGCCTGGCACGCCAGGACGAGAAGGTGCGCCCATGGGGCCCGACGGCATGTTCGCCTTCCCCGCTTCGCCCGGCTCGGCTGCCAGTCCCGGCGGCATGGGTCAAGGCTTTGACGCGATGGGCTTTGTGATCGAGCCGGGTGTTGCACCCTGCCTGCCACCCACCGACGATCCGGAGCTCCGCGAAAAGTGGATGGCGGTGCTCAACGAGAACGACGTCGCCTCGGCCAAGAAGAGCCGCAAGGTCAAGAAGCTGGTGCGCACGGGCGTGCCTGCTTCGATCCGCCGCGAAGTCTGGCTCTTCCTCGCCAACGCATCCGTGCGACGCCGACCGGGCCTGTTTGAGCAGCTCTGCAAGACGTCGCAGGGAACCAAGGGCAAGCGCGGCAAGGAAGAGGCCTACGAGACCATCGAGAAGGACCTGCATCGCACGCTGCCCGATCACCGCCTCTTCATGGGCGAAAAGGCGACCGGACGGGCCGACCTCGAGGGCATCCTCAAGTCGTACGTGCACTTCAACCCGATGCTCGGCTACACGCAGGGGATGGGTCTGCTGGCCGCCTTTTCGCTCATCCACATGCCGGCCGAGGATGCCTTTTGGCTGCTGTGTGCGGTCCTGCGCAATCCGCAGATGGAGGAGTACTACTCGGCAGGCATGAAGCAGTTGCATGTGGACAGCGTGGTGTTCAGCAATTTGCTGCACAGCATGGACGCCGAGCTGCACGCGCGCTTCGAAGAGGTGGGGCTGGTCTCGATGATGTTTACGCCCAACTGGTTCCTGCCGCTGTTCACGCGCGTGCTGCCGTGGACGACGGTGGTGCGCGTGTGGGACGTGTTCTTCTTCGAGGGTCCGACGTGGATGCTGCGTGTGGCGCTGGCGATCGTGCGCATCTTGCGCGAGCAGCTCATGAACCGTGCCATGTGCCCGACGGCAGGCGAGATGCTCCAGCTGCTCCTCCATCCGCCGCCGCACAACCTCACGGTGGACAATGTGCTCAACTGCGCGTTCAGCGTGAAGCTCAAGGACGGCGAGATGCGCAAGCTCAGCCGCTCGGCGTCCAAGCAGGTGCGCGAGAAGAATGCGCCCGGCGACGCACGCGGCCGAGCCTCGCTCCGACGACCCGGCGCCAAGGCGGACCGCAGCACCAGCGCGCCCGCACGACGATAGCCGCGCGCTCGTCAGACGGTCATGCTCAACCATCACGAGCTCACCGGTCGCATGGTAACTTAGCGAGCTGCCAATCTACGCATCTTGTTGCATTTCCTCCTGTGGTCGCCATGTGGATGTGTGGGCACGGAGGCATGAGAGAGCCTGCTGAGCATGAGGTGAGGGTGAGCGAGCGGATGAAGGGTTTGCGGCATTTTTCGGATCAAAGATGTTAGATTGGTTGCAGATTCTGTGACGCCTGCGCCGCACCGACTGCGAAAGTGGGCACGGCCACTCTGAGTAGCGCACCTGCCAGTCCAGCTGATAGCTGCTCCACTTTTGGGCGCCATCTACGTCTTTCCCAACTACCATCACCGCCGCACAGACGTACAATCACCAGCGCCTCCCGACAGGATCGCACGACGACATCGCACCGCGACCGATCTATACCCGGAGGACTATCCTTTTCAGCTCGTGCCGTCTGAGGCTTGACGTGATGGCTCCGAGTACGCGGTATGCGCCGCTTTCGAGCGGGGCGGAAGCGAGTGGAAGCTCTTCGAGCCGTGGACCGTTGCAAGAAGCGCATCCGCGGCTGCGTAGCGTGCTTGCGCGTACGGGCGTGTATGGAGCTACGGCGTTTGTGGTTGTGTGTCTCTTGCTATCCTTTCTCCCGTCCGGATCGTTGTCGAGCAGCGGCAGCACGAGTCGTGGGCTTCCGTCTGAGCGCCGACGCGACCGGACGATGGACGCAGCCACATGCAAGGCCGAGTTCCCCCTATTCTTCCCGCAGATCGACGACAACCTCGCAGCCTGGCGAGCCAAGGGTGGAATTTCGTTCCAGGATCTCGATGAGGCGGCACGTACGTGCGATCCGCGCTGGGGCATGGCGCGCATCGTGATTCGCGATGGCCAGCTCTTCCTGCGCCAAGTGCGCGAGGGCGACGAATCGCGCATCTCGGCTCTGCTTCATCTCATCCACACGGCGGTCACTACCGACCCCTCTTCGACGTTGCAGGCAGGAAATGCAACGGGCATCGAGCTGGTTCTGTCCGAGGCTGATCGGGATGCATCGCCCAACGATGCCGTGTGGGCGATCAGCAAACGCGTCGACGAACCCAAGTCCAAAGGAACATGGCTGCTGCCCGATTTTGGCTTTGCAGGATGGCCAGAAACGGGCATTGCGTCGTTCGACGAGTTCCTCCACCTCGCACAGCTGCAGGACCAGCTGGCTCCGTGGGCTCACAAGGGTGATAAGATCCTGTGGCGCGGCTTGGCCAATGGCTATCCGCCTCGGGTGGATCTGCTCGACCGTACGGATCCGCGCAAGGTCGCCGGTGCCGAGGCATGGGCGGACGTGAAGCAGACCAGCTTCCACGATGTCGGCGCCGAATTCCACCCGCTCATCCCCATGCACGAACACTGCCGACACAGATACCTGGTGCAGACCGAGGGCAACAGCTACTCGGGCCGCGGCAAGTTCCTCTGGTCGTGCCGCAGCGTCACCGTCGCGCACCCCATGCAGTGGACGCAGCACTTCCACCCGGCCCTCAACGCCAACCCGACCAGTCGCGCGCAGAACTTCATCGAGCTCCCAGGCCCGCTCTTCAACGGCCTTGAAGAGACGACACGACAGTTGCAAAATACGGCGGGTATTCCGATTCAGCAGGATCTGCAGACGACCCAGGGCGTTGCGGGTGCGCTCGGGGTAAATCCGCCGCAGAGGATTGCGGATAATGCGGTCGAGTCGCTGCGCAGGAGATACCTTACTCCGGCTGCCACGGCGTGTTATCTGCGTGCGGCGCTGGTTGCGTATGCGCAGGTGCTCAAGACGGACACTTGGCCGCGCGAGGAGAATGCACCCGCGTGGGACAATGGCGGATCGGGTATCGTGCCGCACGGCGGACCCGGCGGCGGCGTCGCACCGGGTGGAGGCAGGGGCAAGGACCTCGTCAAGGTCGGCGTCAAGGGCGATATCGAGTACGGCGTCTGGCGCATCTCGGGCAGCCCCAACTGGCCTCCCCAGTAGAAGCTTCTGTCTGAGTAGAAACGTTATCTATTTCTCAAAGGAGTGTTCTGCAGCATTACTCGTCTATACTTTGCGATAGAGGGGGAAGTTAGGCCTTGATGGAGGGGACGTGTTTGCGGATGAAGGCAAGCATTCCTTCGAAGCTCTCCTTCTTTGACTTTCCGCCGGGGTGGTCCAATACGTCACTTGCGCGCACGTCGGGGATGCGCGTTTCAAAGCTGTGTCCGACGCCCTTTGCGAAGTACAGCTCATGGACGGGGTTGTGCTCGTGAAGTTTGTTTGCGAAAGCGACAGCCTCTGGGCCGAGGGGATCGTGTTCGCACGCAATCACGTAGCACGGAACCTCGTACGCCTCTGTAGGCGCAAAAGCGGGCGACACTCTCGGATCCCTGCCCATCTTTTGCTGGGTGTCGGCATCCCAGCCAAGGAGGGCGCCGAAGAAAAAGTGCATGATCTGATGCGAGAGAGCCGACATGGGGATGCCTGGCAGTTCGCCTTGCTCGTTGGTGGGCTTCTCGATCAGAGGGATCGAGGAGTCGGTGGGGGGGTAGAGCGTAACGCAAGCCTTGATCTTTGCGTACTCGTCTGCAGTCAGCCCGACGGAGAGCGCGGTGGAACGGTTCGCCATGGCGAGTGCGAACTGCGCACCTGCCGAGTGACCTTTGACGATGAGGTTGCCGTCGAACCACGGCTGCTGCACCACCCAACGCACCGCGGCGACGACATCGTACAGCGGCTCGGGAAAGCGGAACTCGGGCGCTTTGACGTAGTCGCCATCGACGACAGTCACATGCAGCTCATCGCTCAGCCATCGATTGACGTCCGCATCCGCACCAAAGCGCGGGACGACGTAGCCGCTCCCGTGCCAGGTGACCACGACGGTGCGCGGCACGCTGTCTTCCAGCCCAGCCGGATCGTAGATGTCGAGCTTCACGTCACGCGGCGCCGAAGGTGTGGTGGATGGCGTCGTCGCAGTGCGGTCCGGCTTGGCAGTTTGAGGATACGTGATGCCACCCGCACGCACCAGCTTGAGCGCCGCTTGCACCTCGGCCTCGCTCGGGTTGGACGGGTTCGGCAGCAGTTGGAAGCCCGTCGAGGCGTTGGCAGTCGTAGCGGCGACAGCTGACATGGCTCTTATAAGCGATATTGGTGGGCGGTAAAGGGTAGGGTGAGGTGGAGATGGAGGAAGAAGGAAGCCTGCTCTTCGCTGCTTGCCGCGCGTTGCCCCGCAGAGTGTTGACTGGCTCAGATGCAATGCACCAACGCGGCACCAAAGACGGCGGCCGGTCAATTCGGACCGGAATCGCCGCCGCTCCCCACATTCATAGCTGGGCCAGATCTAACAGATTCACACCGACAAAAAGCACACCAACACCCCCCAAACGCGCTCGAGCCAAAATTCCCACCGACGCGAACCTACGAAAGCGGCTCGAAAGCGGCTCAGTCGCCTCCACTCGAACGAAGGGCTGCCTGAACCCTGAACGCCTTCTCCCCGTGTCGCCGCTTGCCTGCTCACGCCCACCATCGCGCACCTTGCCAACCATGCCCAAGGCATACTTTGTCAACAAGCGCGAGGCCGCACGCGCGTTCAACTCGGACGATGATGACGACGACGACGAGCTCGAGCAGCTCGACTTGGATGCCACCTACCAGAAGGACATGGTGCTCTTCTGCATCGATGCCGGCGAGTCGATGCACCGCATCGATCCAGCCACCAACACTTCGCCGCTCTACTCGGCACTCAAAGCAGCCGCCTCGCTCATGCAGAAGAAGCTCATCTCCTCGCCACACGACCACGTCGGCGTGCTCATCTTCAACTGCGCAGACACGCTCTTCCGCTCCGCCAAGCCCGGCGAGTACTACAAGGGCAGCTACGAGCTCCAGTCCGTACGCCAGGTCAACGTGCCAGACACCTACAACCTCAAGGCGCTTCTCAGCCGCGCCGCAACAGATCCAAAGCATCTGCGCACCGTGCTGCCCCCGGCGAACAAGCAGATGCGCATCGACTGGGCACTAGCCAACGCAGGCGTCGCCATGGTCGCAGCCGCCAACGCAGGCAGCAAGCGCGTCTTCTGGATCACAGACAACGATGACCCGCATCCGATGAGCTCCGATCCCAAAGCCACCAAGGCCAGACGCGCCTGTCTCGACAAGATGAACGAGTTTCGCAAGATCGGCGTCCGCATCGAACCGTTTTTCATCAATCCCACCGACGGCGCGGCCTCGGATGAGGCATCCACCAGCGACCTCTCGCGCGGCTTCGAGGTCAACCGATTCTATGCCGACGTCTTTGCCCAGTACGACGACGATCTCGAAGAGGCAGAAGCTCGCAGCCAACCTCGTCTTCCCGCCGGCTTTGGCAAGACCGCAGCCGAGCAGCTTAAGGGTCAGGAACCGAGGCGCAGCCTGTGGGACTCGGCGGTTCGATTCCAGGAGCTGGAAGACGACATTGCCACACGCGAGACGCCCAAACGCGTCGTGTTCAACATCCGATTCGAGCTTGCCGCGCTCGATGCACCGACAGCCGACACACAGACGCAGAAGCAAGGCTCGGCAGCAGAAGAACAGCTGCCGCAAGCACGCATGCGAGGCCGCAAGTGGCAGATCGGTATCAAGGGCTACAGCCTCGTCTCAAGGACCACCAAGGGCAATCCGGTCAAGGTGATCGTGGACGACGACTGCGGCGAGCTCAAGGAGGTGGTCACGCACCAGCACTACATCGACGCCAACTCGGGCAAGCCGCTGTCCAAGGAACAGGTTATCCCCGCCTTCCAGTTCGGCAACTCGTCCAGCCTGCGTGGCCAGGTCACTTTTACGCCGCAGGAGCTCAAGAGCATCAAGTCGTTCGGCATGCTGCCGTGTCTCAAGCTCATCGGCTTCCGCGACCGCGACGACCTGCTCCGCTTCGAGTGGAACGTCAAACACGCCTACTTTATCTATCCCTCGGACGTCGAGTGGAAGGGGAGCAAGAAGACGTTCACCGCGCTCCTCAACTCGATGGTGTCCAAGGGCAAGGTGGGGTTGGGTCTGTTCATGCCGCGGCAGAACGTCGTGCCTGTGTTTGTGGCGATTGTGCCGCAGCAGGAGGAGCTCACCGAGGAAGGGCAGCAGGTGGCACCGCCAGGCATGCATCTCATCACGCTGCCGTATGCCGACGACGTGCGCGACATCCCCACCAACCTCCTCCACACCGAAGATGCCAAGGACGCACAGGTGGACCGTGCCGTGGCGTTCATCGAGCGATACCAGAAGAAGCAGCCGTTCAATCCGGATCACTATCCGAATCCGGCGCTCAACCACCACTACGCCGTGCTCATGGCCACTGCGTTCCAGGAAGAGCCGCCTGCGGGGCCGACGGATCTGACAGTGCCTCAGTACGCCACCATCCGCAAGCGCACCGCGCACCTCATCCAGGAGTGGCATGCGAGCATCGACGAAGACCCGCGTCTCGCCATGGTCGCCGAAGCATCCAGCAAGCAGGCCAAGACGAGCACGGGCGTACGCAAGACGAGCTTCGAGGACGATTCCGAGATCCTCGATCTGTGGCAGAAGGGCAAGCTCAGCGCATACACCGTGGCCGAGCTCAAGTCCGCCTGCGAATTCTACCGGCTCGATGCCAAGGGCCGCAAGGCCGACCTGCTCGTGCGGCTCGATGCGCACATTCGCAAGCAGCGCAAGGGCTAGCACCAGCGATGGGCAAGGGCAATCCCAGTCATTTCCGCGTGCTCAGCGGTGTGAAAAATGTTCGGGACATGGAGATTGAACGAGAGCGAGGTTGCCACCACTTGAGGCCGGGATCCGCATTCCGAGCAATTTTTTGGCAGCGTGCCGCGTTTGACAGCAGCTCGATGGCCTAAGCGAGCAGCGCGGTTTGTGGAGAAGTGCAGCCGAACTAGCTAGGCACGGTGGATTCGGTCGGGCACGAGCCCAGTCACCGGCTATTGCGACTCGCGCTCGTTCCGATTGACCGGATTTCACGACCGAGCCAAGCCTGCCTCTCACCAGGCCTTGATGTCCATCTATCCAACCCCACACTCCTTGCGACCTTCACACCATCCCAACACCACGCTCAACCACATCTCCTTTCCGTAAAGTGCAAACATGACTGCGCGCGATCCAGTAGTTCTGCCAGCGGCCGATCCGGCCAAGGTGTTCAGGCCCGACATCTTCAAGGGCAAGGTGCTCTTCTGCACGGGCGGCGGCTCGGGTATCTGCTACGAGATGACCAAGACCATCATGTCGTTCGGAGCCAACGCTGCCATCCTGGGCCGCAAGGCGGACCGTCTGGCCAAGGCGTCCAAGGAGCTCTCGGCTGCTACGGGCCAGGAGTGCATCCCGTGCCCCGCAGACGTGCGCGAGCCCGAGCAGCTCAAGGAAGCCGTGCGCAAGACCGTCGAGAAGTTCGGACGCATCGACTTTGTCATCGCCGGCTCCGCCGCCAACTGGCTTGCTGGCATCGAGCAGAACTCGGAGAAGGGCTTCAAGACGGTCATTGACATTGACCTCATCGGGTCGTACAACACCGTCAAGGCGACGCTCGAACAGGTGACCAAGAACCATGGCAGCTACATCTTCATCAGCGCCACGCTGCACTACTTTGGTCTGCCGTACCAGTCGCACCCCTCGGCAGCCAAGGCGGGCGTCGATGCGCTTAGCAGGGTGCTCGCCGTCGAAATGGGCCCGCTCGGCGTGAGGAGCAACGTCATCGCCCCCGGTCCCATCTCGGGCACCGAGGGCATGGACAGGCTCGCACCCAAGGGCATGGAGGAAGCCGTGGCAGAGATGGTGCCCATGATGCGCATGGGCGCCAAGTCCGACATCGCCGCCGCCGGCGTGTACCTCTTCAGCGACGCTGCGACCTTCGTCAACGGCACCCAGATGGTCGTCGACGGAGGCGCGTGGCACATCCAGGGCCCCATGCTCCCTTACCCAACCACCTCGCTCGACCCCAAGTCGCTCTCGGACCTCGTCACCGGCTCGCGACTCTGAAGTCATCCGCGTGCCAACTTTGCCATCATCTCTCTGTGCTAAGTATTCTCGCTCGAAATGATAGGATCTTTCTAGTCTCTTTGCTGTGGGGCGGGATGTGGTGTGCTGAGCTGTAATGCGCTGCCGATCCTGCAATCCTGCCTGTAGGTGCTCGCCGGCTTCGGCAGGGCGAGCGGCCCGATCCTGGGCCCAAGTGTCTGCTCCGCATGCGTGCATCCGCTCTGACAAGAAATATTGCTACATTTGTGAGGTTGGCCGAGCCAAACAAATTTCTACGAGTCTCGCTACACTCTAACAGCTTATTGGCTTTTGGTCCCTTCACGTGCCGTGCAAAAGCTCGGCCGAGCTTTTCCCTCCCAGTGGGGCCCGGCCCACAGGCGCGCCTTGGAATTCGGATCCGCGTTCCACCCTGGTCCAAATTCCAGCCGTCGTCGATCTGCAGCCGGGAGCCGTGTGGAAAGTTTGCGGCTGCTTGTCTGTACACCTGCTCAGCCGCCGCTACCCGATCCACACTCAGAGCGAGCTTCCAGCAAGTCCGCCTTCGAGCCACAGCCAAAGTCGAGCCTGAGCAACTGCCCGCCCGCGAGCGTCGTCTGTAACCGCGATACCGGGATCTCCTCTCTCACCATCACCACCCATCACCCCCCCACACTCCGTCAAGATGCCGTCCCAGAAGACTTTCCGCACCAAGGTCAAGCTCGCCAAGGCGCAGAAGCAGAACCGGTACGTAGATCGCATCGAAAGCCACAGCATGGCACGCAGCAACCAGCAATCAGCAAATAGCAAATAGCATTCAGCCTAGCATGCAGCAGCCAGCATCCGACATACCGGCACCATCATCAGCACATACGATAGTAGGGAAAGCGTTGATAGGCAGCCAGGGCAGATGTCGTTGGAGATACATAGACGTACCGAGAGTAGACAGGAGGACGCGGCGAAAGGGAAAGTGCAGACGCAGGAAACAGCATCGACACGAAGATCGCATCGCAGTCCTACACCATGCCATACACAACACGAGCTTCGATGTGCTATCAAGTCGTTATGGTTCTCGCTCCAGCACGACGTGAACACACCAGTCAACGCGTTGTCGACCGATCGAGCCGCCACTCAGTCGACAAGCCTAGCCGTGCTTCACCAATTCGCAACACTCGTCGCATCATCGCCTTCGCATCGCCCTCGCCAGCACAGCGGTTAACGCGTTGTTCATACGCTTCGCTCTACACGCTAGCAGCGGTCCGGATCCAGTGACGAACCGCCGAGTTCACTGCGATTCATCTCGACTGTCGATGCTGGCTGAATGGAATGGGCAGACAACGCCGACACGATGCTCGTAGCTGCGAGGCAGCGATGATCATTCGCTCTGGCGTTCCAGCGCAGGATGCTCGCCACGAAGCCGTCGATCGCACTGCGTCCAATGCTCGCCTCTCTCGCTTCCGTACTCTGCATCGATGCGATCGATCGTCTAGCATCCTTGCGTCGCACGTTGGATCCCAAACCTTTTTCATCGGTCTCCGCTCGCGTCCGCCCCAACATCGCACATGCGCATCTCCTGGACAAACTCGCCCATCTGAACCCGACATCGCATGCTAGAGCGAACCCTGCATCACCACTGCTGCCACCGCCACCACCGCCACCACTGCTACCACTGCTACCACTGCCACCACTGCTACCATTGCTGCTATTGCTGCTATTGCTGCTGGTTGCACGATAACTATCTTTGCCTGCGTGACCCAAATACTGACCCTTTCGCTCGCGTCGCTCTGATACTCTAGCCCCATCCCTAACTGGTTCCGCATGAAGGCCGACAACAAGATCCAGTACAACGCCAAGCGCCGCCACTGGCGCCGCACCAAGCTCAACATCTAAGCCGACCAGCCCGATGTTGTAGCACCGCACCCACCTCTGTTTCCGTCTCCCATCGCGTGTGCGCGCACACAATAAGGTGGCGCAAGACGTGTGAGAACGGGATCTGTACATCTACACACCACACACACACACCCAAAAATTTCTCGCATCCAAAAGTGCACCTCTTTTCAAACTCGCAACCTCCGTCTCAACGCCGCAAGACGCATTCTGGCTTCTTCACCACTTGGAACTTGCACACGATGATGCAATTTGAGACTGAGATTAAAGGTGGACGGTGAGAAGGTTAGGGAATGGGACCGTCGAAACGCTGGAGGATCCAGGCGTCTGTTCCGCCGCGCTTGGTGCGTTCGGCGGTGGCAATGCGTGTGTCACCACGGTAGAAGCCACGCTTAACAGCCGCCGTATCGTCTGCGGGCGCTTGGAAGCCGTGTGCGCGGTACAGCGCAATCGCATGCATGTTGGACGGATGCACCTCGAGAAACGTGCGCGCCAAGTACTTGCCTCCCGGCTTGGAATCACGTAGCTGCGCCAGGCTGCATCCTACCACCCCACGAAGGTAGGGAGACTTTGACCCACTCGCGCCCATCGAAGCCATGAGCGTCGATTCGTCGATAAAGCGTGGTGAGAGCGGTGCGACGACGGGTACGGCGCGTGGGTTGCGCATGCGCATCGCCATGTGTCGCGCCTTGTGCATGCACTCTGCATGCAGAGCCGCGAGCAGCTTAGCACCCAACCCCTGCCCGCGCTCCTCGGGCGCCGTAGCAAGCGTAAGCACATGCACATCCACCAACGCACTCGCATCCTCCACCGCCTTTTTGCCAGATCCACCGCCGAACCACAGATGGTCTTCGCTCGGAGCGGCCACCACGCTGAGGTGCGCCGACACCACACCAAGGATCGTCTCGGCCTCGACAGCGCGTGCGTCTGCACCGCGAGGCGGCGGGATCGACATGACCTTCTTCACGGGTGCAGACGCCATATCTGTCGGTCCGGGCAGGTCGGCGAGCACAGGCTTGTGCACCGTCGCTCCGCGCTCGGCAAAGATGTCGGAAAACACAGAGGTGGCAGGCGTATTGTTGATGCGGCCGTCGCGGCCGCGCGGGCTGATCATGCGCGTGTGCGGCGCAGTAGGCACTAGTCCAGCCCCTGGCCCCACGGCGGAGAAGAGCGACGATGTCGTAGCACGTCCTCCGTGGCCCGGCGACGATGACAGACTCGACTGGTCCGACGACTCGGCCGCCCGCGCCGCATCGAGCTGGAGCGACTTCAGACCCGTGCTGGCTTCGTCGTCACTGGCGGACAGCGAGGCAGGCGACGTCGACTGCGGCGACCCAGGAAGGCTGTCTGCCTCTTCGCCACGGCGAGCTGCCAGTCCGACCAGATCGGCAGCCGCAGGCAGCGGCGCCGCGGGCTCCGGGATGGGCTTGGCCACCGCCACCAGACACACGTGCCGGTCATCAACCAGCAGCCGCAGCAGGAACGACGCCGTCGACGTGTATGTCTCGCCGTGATCCGGAGACTGTGCAATACAAGCAAAGGCAAAGCGTCAGCATCTGCTTCACATGTGTGCAGGAATGTTCACGGCCGAAAGAGGTGCGGACAAGCTCAAGATATCCCGAACCAGCGGCTGGCTCCCCACTCTGACCGGAAGACAGCCGCATCGCTAAAGGAAAGCTTTGGCCCGCCATCAAGCGCAAGTGCGGGGAGGAATGTGGGGCAGCGGGAGCATGCACCAGAGATGTCCGATCCGACGACGTGGCGGGAGCCAGACGCATCGCCGGTCCATCGGCGAACCTGGACAGCTCGGTCGGAAAATGACGAGAATGCCGGTCGTCTACTGGTGCTACACGTCTCGGAGAACTCGGTTCATGATCCACTCCGCTGGCTGCCAGACTCTCCCCAGCCAACAACAACGTAAGCAGCGCCGTAGAATGCCGGTGTCGACACCTCTGAGCGAGGGAAGGGTTGGCGAGACCCTGCCGGCGGCGTCGTCGAAAGATGGCCGAGGATCTGGGGGCGGCAATCTCGAGCACGCGAGGGCCGAGCCAGGACCGGGGCGCGGGGAGCGGAGGGCGGAGAGCGGGAAATGGATCAAAAAAAAAGCGCTGCGGGACTTGAGAACGTGGGAGCGAGCCAACTGAAAAAACACGCCTCTTCGCCAAAACCCTGCGTGGATTTTTTAGCGACTTCATGCCGAGCGCATGCGCGCGGTCCAGAGATCCTACACCGATAAGGCTCGGCGCCAGAGCCGAAACGGTGTGCTGGAAAAAAAGAAATCACCGACAGCGTTCGAGCGAGCAAGGCGCAAGTCTCGCCGAGAATCCGACGAAGATCGAGCGAAGACCGACAGCTGACCCCAGATCCAAGGACGGAGCGGTGGTTGCCTGCGTAAAAGCTTTATCGATGGCGCATCTGTGACCGGACCGGCTGGGCCAGATCGCAGTCCGGTGCGCCGGATCGGCCAAGCTCGAGCGCGCGGCTGTGCCTCCAGCTCAGGCGAGCTTGGCGCTAATCGCGCACGCCTGGGCAGCGCGATTCCGCCCACGATTGAGATCCTACTGAGGTCGGAGCAGCTGAAAACATTACGAGCGCAAGAAGAGGGGGGAAGGGGGATGGAGCTTTCTGGCCGCAGGCGAGGTATGCAGGGCTGAGCTCTGAACTTTTTTTTTGTTCTTGCTCGACCCCGTTGGACCTCGTGCGCAGCAGCGCAGCGCATGTGTCACACTCGCTGCACTGCATTGCGATGCGCCGCCACGGCGGACCGAAAGACAATGGGCGTGACGTTGCGAATGGTCGGCCACCTGCTGCTCCCTGCATGTGTGGGTGCAGCTGCGACCGTGCCTGGCCTTGCCCCTGCCTCTAAGCACCTTCGGCAGAACTGCCGATGGGCGGTCGAGCCTGGCTCCTCCTCCCCACCGTCGAGACGGCCTCTTGGGGCAGGATGCGAGTGTCCAGGCCGACAGAACACCGGAAGGCCGTGCGTCAGGCACTCCCCGTCCCTCTTCAATCTTTTTTTCTTCTTCTCTTTCAAGCTTCGTGTGTTTTTGCAAAGCCGTGCGTTCTTCATGCAGGAAGCTTTTTTTTTGGTGCAGGTCGAGGCGGTTGAAGCAGGTGCGGATGCGGAACAGATGCGCCGAGAGTCGAATCGATCGCCAGCTGGGTACAGCCCCGCTCAGATGGGTGAGGTCGTGAAGCCGCCGAAAAGCGGCCGCGCTGGCAACAGAGGCGAGCAGCGGCACGACACCGGCCAGGCCGCCTGTCCGCAGTACTCAAAGTTGGCGCGAGGCGCGCCGCCTGCAAGGTGTGCCATGGGACCGCTGGGGCTGCCCCTGATAGTCGAGTCGACGGGAGACGATAATGGACAGCTGGAAAGCGTGAGGGACGCCATGTGGTGACTTACTCTGTCTGAATCGCCGTGGAAGGCGTGCAGGTCTCGTACCTGCTCCAAATCGCCGCGGCGGAGCGCACGTACTTCGATGCGTGAGTCGAGTGCCGCAGCTCGCGCTGCTGGGTCGATTTGTTTGGCGCTGTGGGGAGCCAAGTGCGCCGGGAGAGGAGGCATAGCAACCTCGTCTGGGTCGTGGATCTTGATTTCTTGTGATGCTTGTTCGATGGGTGCGCTTCCTTCGAATTGCAGACCAAAGTCGAGGTCGTGCGGTGTCTCGCCCTCGACCAAGCTGACGGATGATGCGTTCGAGACAGGTCGATGCGGCATCGGAGGAGCATCGCCTAGGCCAACGTGCGGATGCTGGAAAGGATAGAGCTGTCGAACCACGTCTGAGGCGTCTGGGGCCAAGGCGACTTCCTCGTCATCTGTGAGAACGTCTTCGTCGTAAGGAACGTAGCTTGGCTTCCTCTCTTCGATCTCGAGGTTGCGTCGAACACCTTCGAGTCGAGAGGCAAGGTAGGCGGCGTCAGGAGCGTGACTCATGAGCCTCTCGTCGCGCAACGCTTCGAGCTCGAGTTCGACCGCATGGACGGTCTTGCCCTTCCATCGTCGCCCTCCGAATGACAGACCGTCCGCCTCGTCGTCGCTGCTGCTTTGCTGCGCTTGTGTATCTGCGACAGCTCGATTGTGAAGCCCGGACTGCTTGACAGTGCCTGCCTGGCCCTGATCGCCGACGCCTTGGTAGGAAGACAACGGCGCGGCATTGGGCTTCTTGCCATATACGGGCATGGGTGCGAACGACGCGCGCACATCGAAGTCCGGCGCGTCAGAGCTGGCATGCGAGGAGAGGCTGCTCGAAGCGCTTCCGCCTTCGTCTTCCGAAAGGCCGGGCGAGCCGACTTGGAAGGTAGCGCGGCGCTTCTTTCGCTGCGGCAGCTTGATCTGCTGGCCCAAGTAGCCGAATCCATGTGTGGACGCGACTGGTTGTGCTGATGATGAGCCGGATGCGGTGGCGTTGTTGGTTTCCACGGTGGGTTGAGCGCTTGGAGCGGCCGGAGCGGGGGTCGGGTCGACTTCCGGGGCCATCGTGAGCCATCCAGTGAAGCGAGGACGAGACGGCCCGGCCATCTGCTCCTGGAGTGTGGACTCTGCCTCGAATGACATGATCCGAATGACGCGTCTTTAGTGGTGGAGGGTATGCAGCGATGGGATGAGAGTGAGGATGATGTCGCCTGAGCTATGCTGTCACGCGATGCGGTGATCGTGCCCTCTGAGAGTAAGATGCTTGAGGATGGTGCTTCACAACAACAGCATGGCGGGTCTGCAGTAGGTTGATTGCTCCTGGGCGGTTGGGTTGGAGATGAAAGATTGGGGTCGGAGAGCGCGTTTTCAGCTGCTTGGCGCTACGGCTCAAGAGATGAAGTTTGGAAAAGGAGGAGCCAATACGATGGCGTGGGAAACGCAGGTGATGGAAGTGATTTGGGTTCGGTCCGATTCCGAGTCTGAGTTGCTTTACTGAGCTGAACTGCGTCAAGGAACTTGGCGGTGGGTATGCAGGGCGTAGGTGGTGGGTGATCCAGACGAAGCAAGGATACAGAGGGGATGGATGGGAGGGAAGTGACGTGCGTGTTGGTTGAGGCTGAGGCTGAGGCGGTTGGCGGTCTCGGTGGAGGACCGGGTATCAGACGGGCTCAGGTTTGTGTTGAATGCGGGATGTGTGGGCCAGGGTTGCGGAGCTGCTGGTTGCGGTGTCTGGGCTGGGCGAGATAGGCGCATAAACCCCAGCCAGGTAGGAAATCACACAATCACGAGCGAGTGCGGCACAAAGCCGAAATTTCCAGCAGGGTCCGCACATCACTCGGCGAGCTTTCAAAAGCCATGCCACCGCCGCATCCACTCGCGCACGTTCGCCAGCCTTTTTTGGGCCTTTAAGCCCGAGCCTCGCTCGAGTGTGTGGAGCAGATCAGCGGCAGGATCCCTGCGGAAATTTTCTTTTGTTTGTGGAGCGAGGGAGCGAGCAAGCGAGCGACGCGCGATACCACCGCTCAGAGAGTTAGCCGGATCTGCCGAGATCAGAGCGATTTGCGTGCGTGGAGCGTTTTCGGCCCACGGCGCGCTGCTGCTCTGTCCATCGCCCCTGAAAAGTCAAGGGCCCACTCCGCACAAAAGAATGCCGAGACTCATTGAGCACCCACTGTGCCCCACCTGACAGCTCGCGATGATGTTCTGGACAAGAGCTGCGTCATGCAAGTGCGCAGAAACCCCACGCACACCGTCATGCGGCTTTCTCGCAAAGGAGGACAAGTAGTGGCCGAGATGAGACCCGATGGGACGGTCCGAGATAGTGGCAACCCGCGCCGACGGACGTACCGGTCGAAACCAAACCAGCAACCCGGTGCGGCCGACTGAGCCAATCCTTTAGCTCCTGGTTCAGTCGGACTCGAGCTTCTTTACTCTTATCTGGTCTGACCGGCGATTTTGCACGGATGAACAAAAAAAATGGCAAAAGATGAACTGCAGCACCTAGGATTCCCGCGTGGTCCCCCACCGCAGTACTGACTAGGC